TTATATGACTAACTAATAAATATAATTTCACGGTATACTGTAGATATCCCAAAGTGTTAATTATAACAGGAGCAGTTAAATTCTTTGGAGCAGTTAAATTCTTTGGCTATGAAAGCATAACAGTTTTTAATAGATGTATCACCTGGTAACCTTGGGCATTATTAAATATATGGAGACTGAAAGACATGGTAGAAGCAATGGAAAAGTCTGGCCAGACTGGGTAATTTGTTTTAGACTTATGGAGAAATCTATTAACCATTTCTTCTATAGACCAATTTGATTAGGACGTAGGACAAACTGTTCTTTCATTACTTACCAAAACCATACTGCACTTCGTATCAATTATTTGGCTGTCTGCAGCACATAGATTAGAATAAAGGCCTTTCTTAGTGGTTGTGAATGTTGTGGATTACTGATTAGTAATTAAAGTGCTGAATGAAGAAAATTAGGCCAAAATTGAATGAGAAAGTCTTAATTCTGTGATACAGATGTTAAAAACAGATTGTCTTGAGCAGTCCATTCAACATAGTGACATTCTACATACCATGGAGTGTTTGCTTCCCATGTAAGACTCAAGCCCAATGCCTTGGAGATGGCTTCCGCTCCCATGCCTTGTGATGTAGCTGTATGGGTATTAATTTAGTGAAATATCCTGTCTGCCAGGTGTGGGAACTAGCTGATTTTATTGTAATACCAGATCATTACTTAATTCATATGCAACAGAGTGCAGCACATGGAAAGCATTATAAATCTATTTACAATGTGGCTGGTCTGATGATAACATTGTATTAAATTCCCAGGTGAGGCAATTTAAGCAATTGCTTTGCCATGTGCATGCCTTGGAAATTAAATTCTCATATATGCTTTAGTAATAAACCAACTTCATTGTTATGCTTTTGCTAGTGGTGGGTTGTAGAATCTTCATTCTGGTTATGTATACCGTTTCATATGTAGAATCATACAGAAGGTGGTATCACAGATCATAGTTCTTAATTTAAGCTAATTTATTTTGTTTTCTAGTTTAACAGTGCCTGTCCAGGAACATATTCAGTTCCGTTGGGAAATGTTAAGAGTGGGTGGAGTAGATAGATTGTTTCAAGCCAAATTTCTAGATAGAATTGAGCAAGGGTATCTGCTTGAACTTGACTTTAAGAAAATCAGCCAGTCAGTAAAAGTTTTGTTCATATACCAAGTGACGATTGCTTGGAATCTGAAATTCTCACTTTCATAACCCAAGACTTACTTTTGTCATCAGTTTACAATAGCCATTGAAACTTTGTGGATCTCACTTCTTAGGGATAACAATCAGTTGTTAATTTGTCATATTTTTTCTATAGTTCATATATGGTCTGTAGATTTTTTCTGTCTGTGTCTAGTCCACCTAAGTATATAGGTTAGAAGAAATACGCTTTATACAAACACACAGCTAAAAGTGAGGAATACTCTTATATTTAACATTGTGTGTGTGTGTGCGTGTGTGTGTGCACACGCAGCAAATAATGTCAGTTGAAGCTTTTCCACCCTTATGGTACAGACCCGAAATTGCAATAGATTACAAACTGCATAGAGATTCTGTCTTCTCCAGAAGCCACATATAAAGCACCAGTAGACAGTGGTAACTGACAACTAAGACTAAAAATGTTGACAATTTCTTGATTTGCCTGGTTAGCTTATGTATAGAAGTCATTAACTATTTATAAAATGCATTATGAATTGGGTTCCTTCAAACTGTAGCTGAGTGTGTGACATTTTCAGCTCAAATTCTTATGCTTGCATTTGGCTAACGTACAAATTTTATATAGTTGCTAATAAAGTAAAATTATTTTAGTGTATCAAGATACAGTGGATGTTTCCAGTTTCATTAACTTTGAATACTGCAAATTAAAGTATCACATAGTGCTTGGTAATGTAGAGTGAGGTTTTTAAAAGTTTCATAAAAGGTAAAATAATTTATCGATTTGGAAAGGAAAATTATCCATAAAATAAGCAGTTTGTTATTCAAAGGAATTTACCTTTTCGGGGGATATTCAATTAGTTTAATGATGACACTGCAGGCTAAATTATGGTTGATTACAGTCAGCTTACTTAAAACTTCAAACTATAAAAAATTAGGAGAAAATACTAATGTTAGACATTTAAACATGGTTCTTAATAAATCAAAGTCTTGATTTTAAAAAAAATTGGAAAATAAGACTCGAGTGTGAAGTTCAATTTTCAGCATTGGTAGTATTATTTTCATGAGGAACCGTTTCTGATATTTGAAATTAGTTGGCATTCTTTAGCAAAAGTCAGTCCTATCGGAGAGAACATTTTATAAACTGGGCATATCGTTTGCTTAATTACCTCCAGAGAGCTGAGCAAATGACCAGTTTTTGCCATCCCGATGGCAAATAATGACAGTGACAGAGACCACCCTTCAGCTGTGGATGGAGCCTTCGTTCTCCTCTGCTGCTGAGCACGTACCCTCCTAATTGCTGGTTTTAAAAAGCAATGGATTTTAACCAAAACGAGATTAGATATTTAGGGATAAATGTTTGTAATTTTCTTCTTCTTTTGAAGTATAGTAAATCAAAATAAGAATGTAATATAATTGAACAATCTATGCCAATTTGTTGGTATTTTGGTGAAAAGGGAAAAACAAAAACAATCTCCATATGATATTCTTGCATACTGTGGAATGTTTTAGTCCCCCATAGTGATGAAATGAATAATTAAAAAGGCAGCTCTGATACCACAGCCTGTTTAAAGGTTCTCATTTCCTTTAATGCTGTAAAATACTTTTGCTTAGCTAGTTTGGAACTACTGTAGTGGGGATCTCCACATGGGCAAAAGAAAGGTTTGGCTTGATCTAAATATTGTGGTAAGGCCATGAAATGTACTGTCCTTGTAATTTAGCATTTTTCAATACAATTCTTTATGAAGTCAGTAGAAATAGATAATTAATAACAACTTCAGTAAATACAGTAACAGAAGCAGGCTTACTTAATATGCTGTTTGTAGTGGTAAGAAGTCTGGCATGTTCACAAGTGAATGAGTTGGGTCACTCCTAAATTGTAGAAACCTCTGATCTAGAGGTCATTACTAACCTCAGGCTAATGACTTACCTTTTCTACTTTGTCCTCTCTGCAGCGTTGTTGTTTTTATTTATCTACTTACAGACTTATCGCATTTGCCAAAGTATAAGATATATATTTAGAGCAGGGAAGACAAGCTTGGGGTAGGGAGACTCAGGGCAGGGATGGGATGCTACCATCTCCTTTAGATTGCAACATTTTGCAATGTTTTTATATCTGTTTCCTGAGTATATCCAGAGGGTAATAAAATGGTGAGGAAATTTTATGTGATAGAATGAGTTCTGAGCTGTGAGTTAAGACCCCAGGGTTCTAGTCTGTTTAACCAAAGCTACCAAAATAACTCCATGAAACTGACTTTTTTTCTCTAAAAAAAAGGGATGTCTAGATTTATTTATTCTTATTTATACTCCATTCAGCCCTTTTCAACTGAGTTCTGCTGGAGAATTAAGCCCCAATGCCCTAAGGCTTCTGTTCTATGTAATGAATTAAAATCTCTCATGTTCCATTCTTGGAAGAATTGAGAAAATAGTTACTGAAATAGTTTTCTTTTTTTTGTGGTTCAGACAAGGAACCCCTATTGAAAAGGGCTGCAACTTTAAAATGATATAAAATCTATTGAGTGGTTTTTTTTTTTTTTTTCCGAAAGTCCTTTTAAATTCTAATGTAATATGATTTTATATTTAAAATCTTATGGTCTCTGTGTGACAAAGCAGTGTTAGGCATTCAGTAGTTTAAAAGTCTAATTAGAAATCTTGTTGACTTCTGCTCACAGATTATGGATAGTCCTTTTAAACTACAATAATTTTGCAGATCACAGTTGAATAGGTAAGACATTTTAAGTTCTAAACTATAGATCCCAAGCGAGAAAAGATTACTATTTTCTGACTGCCATTTTTTAAACTGACTGTTTTTGCATAGTTAGTTCAGAAGCAGAAAAGTCAGCAAAGTAACCTGTAAATCTGCATTTAGGTGTGAAATAGTGATGCCGAAGTAATATTTGAGGACTGCACTCTCATTTCCAGAGCCTTTTAGTTTTTCCAAATGTGTATGATTCAGACAATTCCTGAATTGCTTGCAGACATGCCCCCCTGACTTTACAGGTAAAGGTGGATTTCTTGAAAAACAGAATTTCAATGTGTGAAGCCTTGACTCATAGCCCACTTGTCTTTATTTACTGGGATTATGAAAAGTTGACTCAACCTACTTGCCTTGATTTACTGGGATTGGGAAATGTAATTTGCTTTACCAGACACACACACACACACACACACACACACACACACACACACACACCCATTCTCTCATACTTTTCCTTAGGCCATTATTTATAGAGGACTTAGAGACATTTAAATTATTTTTTGGAAATGAGATGTGCTTGTAAATTATCTTTTTTTCAGTTCATCATATTACAGTAATGAAGGAAATATAGATGTACTATTTGCCAGGCATTCCAGTGTATATATAGTTGCGGCTATAATGTTATCCTAGAATTAGTGATAAATCCATTAGTGATAAATCCATTTCCTGCCATAATATTAAAGAACTCCATATTCTCTTATTTTAGTTACAGTCCGGTGCGTTTTGCAGATACACCGCTTATGTAACCGTATTTCCTTCAGCTTAGTATTTCTTTCTGAATGACTATGTATGGAGTAACATACCAGTTCCAATCCATTTGTGAATATTAATGGTGTACTTACACAATGCAGAGTTTTCTCTCTGTACTGGCATTTGAAAAACTTCTAATTTACATTAAACTTCTCAAGTTCAAGAACTTTACACAACTTTGGCTTGCAGATTTTAGCAAATAGGTTTCCATTAGGGGGCTCTCGAGGTTTGATATGATCAGTGTTGATACCAATAATGCTTCGAAGCTTTGCTCTCTAACGTTCATCTCGCTCTCTCCCTTTTTGTTTTGTTTTATAGAAAAGGTCACGGATTGCCTACAGTGACGAAGTGCGCAATGAGCTCCTAGGGGATGATGGGAATTCCTCAGAGAACCAGGTAGAATGCTAATCAGGAAGGCCCGGTGGGTGGCTGGAGGGTGAAGGAGGTCACCGGCACACTGGGCTCTCAAGCTGCTCCCTAACAGTGTTAGCAGCAACTCATGTGGAAGTGATACTGTTTAATGCAAAGCTGGAGTCTTAATCAACTTCAAAATGTTTCTTGGAGATCTTACATTTAACCCTTTACCTTGTGATCACTGTCTGCTATCTTTAAAAAAAATCTTTTCTTCTCTTTTCTTTATTATTTAGTACTTAAGGAATAACTTGAAACACACTGTTTGCAGACAAAGCCAAGGTCTTCACCTCAAACACATGTAAAAGGAATAAAAAAGTACACAATGCGGCTTTGATAATAATGCAGTATAATTAAATCAACACTTGCAGCAAAACAAATGAAAGTAAGCTTTCAAAATTCAACAGGGCAGCTCAGTCTCCTATTGTGTAGCTTCTTAAAAATACATTCACCAAAATGCAAATTGTAAGCACCAGTGTGGAATTTGGACACTCATATAGAGTTCCTGCCTCTGTCAAATGATTAATAATGATAATGATGATAATAGTAATAATCATAATCATAATCATGGGAAATGTCATTTTGCAGTTTAAGATCTGGTCAAAAATAAGATACAATTTCTTCGTAAAGGGGCCTTATGACTTGGCTGTCAATCCTCATTGGAATCCACAGTAGTGCCAGGAGTCTAATTAATGTCCCACTTCTTCCTTTGAATTAAGATTGCAGATTTCATTAATTCATATAGATAATATAGATGACTTAAAAAATGTTTCAAGAACCTCAGTACAGAGATGATTTTTAAAATGCCTCAGACAACCCTGGCGACTGATTCTTTCCGACACTTTTCAAGAAAATAAATGATCGGGAACCTCACAAGCGAGACCTGAACATGTTTATTAATGTTACTTTGGCAAGTATTATAGAGGTCTCTACTCCGTCTAAATAAAGATGGACATAAATCATTCATCGAATAAACCAAAATTTTAATAAGATAGTAAAACAATAATATATTTATACACATTATAAAAATTGCATAATTGTATTTATCATTTCAAATTGATTGTATTATTTTGAAACTACATTACTATCTACTATTGATGTTAATATTGTAAGTAGGAATATTGCTTAAGTGATGAAGATCTCCATCCACTGACCCAAAAAGGGGGACAAGAATCACTGAGCTGATTCTTTTTTTTTTTTTTTAAAGATCTCACCTCCTCCACTATTTGAGTTCAGACATGTAAACACTTTAAGATTTGACTTGGGATTTCAGCCTCTCTGACTGAAATGTGAGAATAGCTAAGGGAAAAAAAAATATGGAGTGCATCAAACAGAAAAGGGTGATGTGATAAAGCGGTTTTACTTAGATTAAATAATGAAAGGATGAGAGAGAAACAATATTTTTTTTCCTATTTTAAGTGAGACTTAGGTCTCTCATACCTCTTGAATGAATGAACCATAATTTTATTTCTATCTTTACTGTGAAAGAGCACTATCTTTTTTATTTAAAAAAAAAAGTGAATGTATTGTTCCCATGTCAATTCTTTAAAAAGCTATAGATCTTTCCCTCACTTAAAACTATTGCCTAATCTAGAGGAAATGGACAGGAGGAAGCGTTCCTGTCTCAGACTCTCATTGTAATGGATGCTGAAGTACTGTGACAGGGATTCCTTTTTTTTTTTTTAAGCATGTTCACTTCTCTTAATGGACATTTTATATGCCGAAAACATTTGTCTTACGTACATATAAGTATGATTTTTGTATGCCTAAAGAAAACTATACCACAGAAATAGATTGAGTTCATATTTTCTGAAACTTTCAAATTATGTTCCTGTCACTTTCAAGTGATTACACATGATTACAGAGATTTCCCCTGGACTTGTATAAATCAGACTTACAAATTCTGAAAGTGCTTGGAGAACCTGAAGTTCAGTCGTAAGGAGCTGTCACTTCAATAAACAGAGTATGATAAATTATAGTCATGAGACTATGTAACTGTTAGATTATTACTTATGTGAACTTTTCAATCTAAAATTTGAATCAGGTTTGAAAGTTCAAAGAAACCACACTTTTGGGATATTTAGTTATCAAATGTAGCAAAATTTCCATATCATAATGAAGAAATTAAATTTTGTTTTGAGGCTCTTTATCATAATAATATAGGAATTAAAATTCCTCAAATTAAAACATATCCTTAAACAGGAACGTCACTCTTTATTCTCTATCAGTATTCATTCAGACTATGGAATCGAAACAGAAGCCCTTTCTTTAAAGGAAGAAAGGATTTTAAGTTGGGTCTTCATATTAATTTTTGCAGCTCAGTGGCTGAGAAGATAGTTTTTTTTCTGCATAGAGATTACCTATAATTTATATAAGAAAATATTTTCTGCCTACAGATAAGTTCATTTTCAGGTTAATTGTTGATACATTGATTTTCAGAACTTTTTGGCTAATCATAAACTTAATATACAGAGAAAACGTGGAGATGAACAAAATAGGACAAAAATGGTAATATTTGTTTCATTGAAATTGAGATATACCTCAATTTTTTAAAATAATAAAGAGTTCATAGTAATGGTTACAAATACTATTTAGTTACTTTTGATGCAATATACATATCCTCTCTCTCTTTGTGGAGATTTAAACAAATGCAAATGCCATAGCTATTATTTCCCATTCTCGCCACGTATAATGCATTTTTCTAGGCATCTAAAACCTGGCTGTTTATACAATTATAATCTAATAATTAACTAATAAGTGTATTTTCTCATATATATATATATAACATTTCTGCCATGATTAGAAAGGTCAAGATTTCAGAAATTAAGACTTTTTCAAATGCATTTTAATGTCCCTCATACAGTACACAATTTTACTTAATTCTACATAGCTTTGTATAAATTCATTTCTGATTCATATCTATTTCATACAATCAAATATAGCTCTGCTATACAAAGAAGGAACAAATTACCTACTTTGCGCATTCAAGTTGGGTCATCAGCTTTCTAAGGACTGTTGTCTCAGCCATTATCATTCTATTCTTTTAAAATGTCATATTTTTCATTTCCTATGGCAACATTTTAATATTTGAGAGAGTTAAGTTTTTTAAATATAGCGATGCTATATTTAGAGTGGAAACCTTTAATAAGTTAACTTGATTTAGCTTCATGAAAACCATTCTCAGAAAAGGAAAAAAACATCTTGTAGAATTAAATCTTTTCATAGAGAAGTATCATAATGAGGCAAATAAAATGTTCCAAGTAATACTTTTGAACACCAATAGGCTCCCAGTTTCCATATGCAAAATTATATTGGTCAGTGAATAAATTTAAGTAAATGAAATTTGAATAAATCCTAAATAGAAGGTTCAAATATGTATATATAAAGAGAAGGATATTTCTAGACATGCCAAAAATTTGTGGTAAAGCAATATTTAGCAAATAAGATTGCTTAATTTTTTAATACAAGGTTCTCTTAAGTTCCGATTTGGGCTTGCTGTGCATAAAGTGTGTCAAACTTCAGCCACAGACCAGGGGGTGAAGTCGGTCAATTTAATTCCCCGAGATCTAAAGAAGGTCGGTATCATTTCATATAGCCCTGGCAGAGCAGATCATTACCAGGCACAAATCTGTTCGTTACGTGCTGAGGGTTTATAGCAAAATAAATAGACTGTCATCATAAGTTCAGAAAATTGTGTGTTCGACCCACGATAATGTGTAAAGGGCGTTTAATAGAGTTCAGCATTTATTCGTTATCTGTATGCGGACAGAGACGGCAGTCGCGTTATCAGCTTTAAAAAAAAATTCGGTAGTTCTGGGAGGGGGGTCACGTGACACACCTCACATACAGAGGCGCGCGCGCATGAACCCTCACATGCTCTGCAGTGCAGTTTTGATTTTAGTCACAGCAGAAGGCTTAACCACAAGAGATTCCACTGGTTCAAACCAGCGTAAACCAGATTTTTTTCAGCCCACAAAGGAACAGATTACCTCTTGTATCAAATTCTGCATTGGAGGAAAAAAATCTTTGTTTCAGAAAAGATGTTGATTATCATAACTCAACGTGGTGGCATGGCACACTTTCATGTCGCCTATGATGGAGCTAGTAACTCGAGAAAATACGAAATCACTACTTTCAGTCTAGTCTAAGCATTGTTAATTTTCGAAAATAGACCATCTTTTGTTTACTTGAATGAAAACTCTCAGCCCTAAAAAAAAAAAAAAAAGATAAAGATTAAAAACCCTCCCATTACCTAGCTTAGCTACAAATCCGGTGTAGAGCTTGAATGCAGCCATGCAGCACAAACAAGATAGAACGTTTTTTGTTTGGAACCTATTGAAAAAACAAATGGGTAGCATTTTTAAACACTCATTGATTATGGCAGGGTGGCATGCCCCAAATGGTCTCCATTGCTGAGGAGTAGTTTTAAACTTTGGCCCTTTAAGTATCATAGTCAAGCGAAGAATGGTGTCCTCAGAAAGAAAAGATAGCTTGTGCAATCAATTCCCCGATCGTCTCTTTCTGAGAATGAATGTTTGCCTTTTTCTCCCATGATGTTCGCGTAGCAAAGAGAAGGATTCTGATGTATGAGTGGCCAGGTATTTTAAATTTTACTTCTTCTGAAGAATGGTAACTTGACACATGAAACGATGAGGTGCTTTACTCATGCACACTGGAAGGTTGCTGAGAGAATGAGCATATTAATTAAAAATAATGACAACTTCTTGTTATATTTTGAAAGGATGACATTAAAAGTTTCAATTTCACTAAACGCACTGTGAGACATTATGTAATAGGTTTTGTACCCTTTTTATAAAAGATTCATAACAATTTTGAAATTTCATTTTTTTGTGCTTGAAATACTTTTCATATAACAAATGAATTAACAGAATAAGCTGGAATGCATGCTGCCTTCTTTGAATTGGAGACAAAAACAGCATTAAGCTCTGAGAAATCCGGGCTATAGTAAACATGATACTTTTAGAGAGACTTATAGTGAGCAATTTATAGCACGTTTCTCCCAAAGCAATAGTTTAATTTATTGGCCTGCATGTGTCAAGTGTTATAACAGATGTTACAGATATAAAGATGTTTAAAAATTATCAGTTGAAGACCCGAATTGCTGAGGATGCACATTTCAGACCTAGAATGTGGTTTATAGTCTCTTATAACACAGGTTTCAGTTTCTATTCATTGCAGAAATTATGGCAGTCATCTCAACAATACAGAGATATTTGTGGTTTACAGTACTGTCAAACACATACCTACACACACACACACACACACACACACACAAAGAATGAACCAAATATATGGTTATATCCATTTTCTAGTTGCTACAGAGTTAAGCAACTTGTTTTATCTGTTATATTTAAGGCAAGTAGGAAAATGTTCTACAGAGGAGAATTAAAATGTTACAGGAGAATTTACTAACAAGTAAAGAGCAGTTTGTGTTTCAACTTCATTGTAGTACCAATGAAGTAAGAGAGCTCATTGCTTTGAGATGGCTCAGTTTACAAAATGAAGAAAATTGAAAAATGAAGAAACTTCAAAAATTAAAATAAAAACACTATGTGATTGCAGTAGCCTCTTAAGCAAAACAAAACCATAGGAATTGACTCTAATATACACAATATTTCTAAGTATAGTGAAATATTTTCTGATCCCATGTCCTAATTATCTATCCTGGCATGCTTTATTCTCAACTAAAATGTTATCTCCAAATGCAATTTTTTTACTAGGGTGGGTACTAATATGACATTAACTAACATAATAGTTTGTTGCTGTTAATTCTTATTGGGTCACAAGCATGAACTATTAATCATTTTCATTTGTAGGTAAAATCTGAAATCAGTTGTCAAGATTCAAAATAGAAAAACATCCTGAAAACTTGTATATACAAAACCTCTTCAGTGGTACATTTTTAGAAGAGAGGAACAGTAAACTTGTTTTCTTTATAATATAGACTTCTATGAAGTCGTTCCCCTTTATTTCATGATGGTGTCTTAGATGTACTTTAAAAGAGAATTTCACACTATTCTCTTTGTTTAATGTGACAGTATGAGAAAGTGATCTTTATTCGTTCAAAAAACTCTGCATGTAGTCTATGTTTAGGTTCTTTTAATGTGTTTGTCTGTGATTTTTAAATGCTAAACATGTAAACAGATAAATTGTCAATGTTAATTCTGTATCCTGTCACACAACTGATCTTTCTTTCCTGCCATTTCTTTTCTTTTTATCTTTTTTTTTTTTTTTGTGCATTCATGTTGCAGTTGATAAAATTACGTGAAGAGGTGAGTACTTACTAGCTTGCTTTTTTAAAAATTCTGTTTTTCCCTATAAAATTGAGTTTCTAAATCTGAAGTAAGATCTTTGGGTTCATTTTTCAGAAAAACCTACATATAGCAAAAGTATTGATTATATTGCTAGAAATGTTCTCTGCTGATTATCTTTTTAAAAACAAGTATATCCAAATCATGCTTATCCCGATGATCACTGTTCATTGGCATCGGAGCAAAATTCATATTTGAAAGGCCAAAAAGGGAAGAAAAACAAAGGATTGTCTTAAAACTATACCTAGGTGTACTCTTAATGGAGACTAACTTCAGACTTGTTTTATTTATTTCTCAAGTCAGTATTTTTTTTGACATTCTGATTTACTTTACTAAAGACTGCTTTTAAATAAACTTCTTTTCCCCACCCAAAATTCTTAGGTTCAACATAAGATACCATGAATCTATTATCCTTTTGGGGAGACATACATATGTTATAAATGCCCTACTCGTCTGTGCACATAGATACCTAAGAATAGCCAAAGCCCTCGTCGTTGTTAAACACTCTCCTTTATGTAGGAAATAGTACCCACGTAAGCTCTCACTTTTCTGAGTTTGTTAGCCTGTTTCATAATGCAGCTTCAGATTTTTTCTGTGGCCCAGCAAATATTTATAACAATGTTTATAATTTTATGTCTGTATCAATGAGGGATGCTGGATGAGTCTATATTTTTTTTTAATTAGGCCAGAATTATCAAATATGCTTTGATACTCTTTTCAGAGATAGAGTAGTTTTATTTTTTACTTAGTGAGGATGAGTTTTGGTACTTTTATATTAGGGCATACAATAATGGCCTATAATGGAATTTAAAAATTGTCTAATTGCTTATAATAATCAGAGTACTGTGAATTATTTTTGAGTTTAAATTGACTTCGTTGATTGAGATTTTTCTAGAAGTTATTTACTGTATGTCATCATTCTTTAGGTGATGTGAATGCTAATTTAGAGGCTTATAGACAGTAGTTTTCAATAACTGTTCTGATTAAAGATCCATGAGTGATATCCTCTCAGTGAAACTAATAATGATATATAAAATGATGGGTGAAGATACACAAAACCTACACCCTCTGACCTTTTTGTGTTTTTTATCTTCTCTACATAGAAGCAGGTGTATATCCTAAACAAATATAATCAATTGCAGTTTTGATAGATAAAATTATTCCTTGGCATGATGCATCAACATTATTTTTCTGCAGGACAGAATATCTGTGCGTATTTGCATATGCTCGTGCAAATCTGAATTTTCAAATGTTATTGGAACTAACAATAGACTTGAAAACTTCTATATGAAGAAACTGCACAAAGCTCCAGACCCTGAATTTAGCAATGAATATAATTAATAAAACAGTATGCCTTATTACAATTAGCATTTTTGACAGAAGACTTATTTTTGTTATGCTGAATTTTGTGGACTGAGAAATCTTAATTCTAAAAGCTGAAAACATCACTTCTGCATGTCTTTTAAAATATGTTTTCTCATCATTTTATGGCTTAATTCTTTTATTGTGCCTATAGCAACAGTTTCATCAGTTATGCTTCTGGAATATATGTTTCCAAAACTGTAACCTGTAATGGAACTGTACTTGGAAGAATTATAACATTCAACTAATGGTATAATATGCTCTAAAATAGTCTTTTTACAATCTTTGATATGGATGTAGCATTGATATTTTTAGACTAGATTATAGTGATGACAGTGCACGGTCTGCTCAGAAGCGATTGTTTCTCAGCCAGGATTCTAATAGGAATCCAACAGCGAATGTACCCCAGATTTCTTTCTTGTACCTATTCTAAGAAGACAGGCACTCATCTCCTCCAAAATAGGATGTTTTGTTGTCTTTGGAAACAAAGTTATGCTCCATCCCTTCCTTGTGATGCTCTTTTTGGGCTCAGTTCTGGAACCGGGGCATGCTTGGAAGCAGGCCGGTAGGGCACGGGGAGCTGGACTGGCGTTGGCTGTGCCTAGCTCTCCGTTCCAGCCGTGCGCCTCCAGCTCTCCACACCGCACAGCTCCTCACACAAGTTGAGCTCTGTCTGAAGCTCCTGCACAGCTTTACTTACCTGCTTTGAAAAGGACGGAGAAGAGGGTGAGAGAATGAGTTTGGGATGGAATGTGGGGGCGAGTTGAAAGCATCAGCTGCAACTGTAGTGTGTTTCCTTTCATTTTCAGAGACCAGGGCAATGCACAACTAAGGGAACAATGTAAATAGCACAGCTGTTACAAGAATTTGATTTTAGCTTGACTTAAGTGAAGAGGTTCCAAAATACAAAGTGAGGTCCTGCTGGAAAGCTGCTGGTAAACTGACAGTCCTCTTGTGTGCAGATTTCCTCTGATAAAACTGAACTGTCCTGAAGAGAAGTTATTTCCATTATTTAGTAATATATTTTTTTTTAAGTTCTTTTTGAAATTTTGCTCCCCATCATAGCATTATGCCGAATAATCTGATGTGGCCCCCTTTCATGGAATCCCCCAAATCATTCGGCATTTAAATGCTTTGTTTCCTACATTATATGTTATCATCAGATTAGACTGTCAGTTTCCAGTACTGATCTTGGATTTTTTTTTTTTTTCTCTACAATATCTAAATATTTTCTTCTAATGTAGGGATTTCTTCCAGTATGAAAATAAACAAAAATCTTTGTTCTGTTATTCTGGATTAAAATTCAGATTACTCTTGATTTCACAAATCTCATCTTTTTAGAGAATCACCAATTTGAAATTAAGTCCTTTGTCACGATAGAAAACAATATTCAGAGAATGGAAGAGTAATTCTTACTCTCAAAAACCTGCATGTAGAAAGAATTAGGAGTAAGAAAGCTATTTTTGACAAGCTGAGTAAAGTGTTGAATTTTATTTAAAAATAGTCATTAATGCCAAACACATAGAGCTCTCCTTGCTTTTCTTTTTCTCAATTACAGCTTTTAGTGATTTTGCATTTTCATGATATAAGCTTTCCTTCCTCCCTTTTATTTATTTAGTTTAGTTTTTTTTTTTTTTGCAGAGGGAGGGGCAGTTTTTCTCTTAATTTCTCCACTGTATATTAGACAACTCTATTAATTATTATAGACTGTTGTTGCAGCTTTCCTGACCTTCACATCAGGTCCTATCTCTCTGTTCTAAATGCATTGTTTTAATGATTCTTCCCCCTCCCCCCAACCTTTCCCCCCCAAAAAAAAATTTCAAGGAAAGCTTTGATGTGGCTTTAGCTGCCTCCAACGTCTGGCCGCATCTCAGATGTGTCACCTATGCCGGGAGGGAATAAGGAAATCACGTTTTGAATGGTAATGATAACATACTAATCACTTCCTTTCTTTGAAGATGGAAGCGAGATATTCTGTCAGCATCCCTGGCTGCTAGAGCTTGGAGGCACTGGTCTAGGTGTATTAGCTTAAGTGTGCATGTCAATACAGCTTGCATCTCCAAGATCCATGGGGGCTCATTAGAGCAAGGTAGATCGTTTCACTCGACAGCCACTCAGATAATATGTGTGGCACCTCCTTTTTTTTATTATTATTAGAAAGCATTTCTTCTATTTTAAATGACATCTGTCAACAACACAAAGTTGTAGGAGTCGTGGTTGCTATATTTCTTTCTTTTTGACCAGATATCAAAACTGATTAGAGAGGAAAAGATACTAATTTATACAAAAACATATGCATACACACACAAATGTACACATATACACAGTCCTATGTTTCTAAGTATCCAGACATACTCACACCTATACACACACACATATGTACAGATATTCACATATGGATGCACATATTCTTACCTATTCATAGCCATGATTAGCTTACAAATCTGTTTGACAACCTGAATAGATCTAGTGTAGTAGGATCCTTACGGTTCAAAAAAACAAAAACAAAAACAAAACAAAAACCAACCTCAATGTAGAAAGTTTAAAAGCTGAGAATTTGGGGAAAATCCTCTAATTTCCCAAATATAAAAGAGAGCATATAATTATTATAATATTAGCTCACTGTCCAAAACACTATGTGGCAAAAGTTTACCTTGAATCTGGTGCATAAATCCCCATTTTGTGCATCTGTGTGCATGGAGAAGCCTATACCTCTTGTTTCTCGGTGGCTGCCCCGTGCTGTCTTAAACTAGAACTGATGTTTAGTATTCTATTTTAGTAGCATGTGTTCTTCTGTATGGCATCTTGCCACACATCTAAATATGAGGGACAGACTCTTCAAAATAAAGTTCCTGTTTAAAAATGACTGTCTGTGGAAACTAAAGAACGAATAAGTTTTTAAAATAATTGCATTTTATACGAAATAAATACAAAATAAGCATCATAGATCTATGCAAATATCTTATACATATCTACTTCTGCTGAAACAGGAAAGATCCAGTTAACTCTGGTCTTAGGACATTTCTCAGTGTTTAGGGGTAAGATTTACTGAGGCCACATACAACATGTCTCCCTTTTAAAACAAAAAAAAAAAAGTTGATGGTCCATACATGATTGATTGGAAATCTGTGTATTGTAGTAGTTCTTATAATGGAAGATTTGCTAAAAATTATCTATAATGGGTTGTGACTCCACCCCCCTCCCTCCCAAATGTTAGGGCATACAAAAGCATTATTTTTTTTAAGGCAGAAAAAGAACATTGTAGACGACTGTCTGATTTTTTTCCCCCTTTTTCTTTTTCAGAGGGCACATCTGCTCGATAACACAGAGAGGCTGGAAAGGTCATCTCGGAGACTAGAGGCTGGATACCAAATAGCGGTGGAAACCGGTAAGAACTCTGAGAGTGAGCAAATTGTCTTGCTTATGCACAGCAGTCTTCACAACACATGACATTTCAGGGTAACTTCAAAGCAGTAGCAGAGACAGCAGCCCGAGATGTGGTTTACATATTGGGGAGACAATTGGGAGCTTATTTGCGCTTATCTTTTTTCAAGTTAAAAGGCATGACATCTACTGAAAACAGTTCCTGAGGTTTAAAAGTATACATCTGAAAAGAGATGGAATACTTTGTCTAAATTCTACATTTGTCTTAATATGCAGTTACATGTTGTCAGTTTACCCACCCGCAATGATTGCTAGCACACAGTTGTTTGCTCCATTACGTTTATTCACATATGTAAAAATTAAACATTTTAATCAGTCTAAATGATGTGAACTAGGGGCAAAGGAACACCAACCCTACTTTACCTTGCTTATTTGTCCTGGTGTTAGAAGTGATTTCTAATGATCCTGTTTGTTTGTTTGTTTGTTTGTTTGTTTGTGTAATCATGAACAGAGCCTATAATCAGATATCAGGGGGAAAAAGTCATAATAAGCAGCAAAGCTAATGTTTATGATAATCTTATTAGCAGTAGTTAATACTGTTCAAACTTTTGGTTTGAATTAACACTATTATTTTCAGAAAACACGGCTGTAATTTGACTTCTAAACCTCATCTGCTTAAAATAGACAAGGTTTTCATTACGAATGTTTCATGCAATGACAGTTTATTTTTCCATAGTAAATAAATATCCATTAACTCTTTCGTAGTCATCAGTTCCTTATTATTTGCCATCTTTTTTGTTTTTGTTTTGCAATGTATAGATTATATATAATCTTATTTAACATATTTAGGGTAGTTCTTATCTAATATGTGAACCACAAAAATATCTGGTTAACAACATTTCCATCATGTATTTAATTTTATGCCACAAGAAATGTTTATTTTGGAAGAGCAGGTATAATGAAAATGCTTCCAAATAATTTCTTTTGTGAATGGCCAGTGTTTTTTCTTGCCCTGGGTCCGTGGCTCTTCCACATTGGCTGGCTTATGTGAGGAATTCTAAGGCACTGAATAGGAAGAACACAGATGGCATTGGTATTATAGTAATGAAGAGAAAACTAAAGGAAACCATAAACCCTCTAGAGTTTTTAGTAGTATAGGCAGTCCTTCTTTCTGAGGTTATTGATAAATTAGCTTTCAGCCCTGATTGGAATAAAAGCCAGCTTTCATTTTTTCTTTTTGTCCTTGGGCTCACCTTTAGAAGTGACTGTCCTTGTGAAGAATGTGAATAAAGCAAAGATCCCTGAATGTGAGGTCAAAGGACCAGGCTCAGGTTCTAGCTCTTGTTTGTGTGACCTTGAGCAAATCACATAATCTCTCTCAGTCTTGATGTCTTCTTTAATAAAATGGAAATAATATTCTGTCTTAGAATAGTCTTAAGAAATAATGGCATATATGAAAATGTTTTATACATCATAAAACGCTGTACAAATATAAATATAAGTAACGTGTGGTCATTGATGATATCAGGCATTTATCTTTATCTTATAGAAAATATTATTGTGATTAAAATTTGTGTATATGAAAGGAGTTTTTAAGAAGTGTTACTTTGCTATCCTTGGGGGATGGAATACTACATCTATTGAACATGGTTATCATCAAGGAACCTCCTTTGACAAAATGTTCCATTAGTGAGCCTCTTCCCACATAGGACTGGGTTGGGTTGGGGATATTCTTACTCTGACACCGACCACAGGGCTTCTTTTGGCTGATTGGGCTGGCTTTTCTCTTTCACTACACCATTCGCATAGTTCCCTCCCAAAGCTGAAGGAAGTCATCAAAAAAGTTCAGAGATACTGGAGGATCATGCATCAATCAAAGTTTTAAGATTGAATGGGATTTGATCATTATTCCTTTTGGTGTGTGCTAAAATATAACATCCATATCAAACTGTCAATACAGTCAACATGAAAAATGTCAATTTAAGAGTGGCCCACAAACCAACCTCGGTCCTCTTGGACATTTTAGTAGAATACGACGGTAGATTAACTATAAAGTTTTATAAAATTCATTTTTTGTCATATAAGACTTGGCATTTTCTTATAAAACCAAGACTGGGAGGAGAAGTAAGGCTGGGCTTTGTGCAGGTAAAGACAGATGTGACACATGCAGCCTCTGCCTGGATAGGAGTCATCCCGATAGTTCCTTGGATGAGTTTGGAAGTGGACTGAGAAATGAGAAAGTGGGCTCAAAACATTTTTCTTGCCCTTGCTTCTTACTGGAGTAATGCTGAAGAAAAAAAGAGTAATTATGATGGACACTGTGTTGCTTGTACATTTATTTTCTGCTTCCCTGCTAGCCCTCAGCCTAGTCATATCAAGTCAATCAACAGCTCTGTGTTTGGATTATGATGTAAATTTGTGATACCAATCATTTTGTTATAGTAGCAGTAGAAGAATAGCATCTTTCAAAAGGAAAAACTTTTAGCATTTATTGGTTTCTTTTTCTTAAAGACCATGACACACAAAGAGGAGATGTGGAAGAGTTAGTCTGAGTTTTGAAACAGCACAAAAGAGAGAAATGGATTCCAAGTATTGGTCTAAGAAGTGGTTCTAGACTATAGTGAGTTTTTACCAGTCTACAGCAAAATGAGGTTCAAAAAAAAAAAGTAGAAAGTAGTGACTTTCTCATATAGCAAATTTTATTAATTTAAGGACTACGCTTTTTGTGAGATCATATTTTTCCTATTTTGGGGTGATTAAAGAAAAGAGAGTTTTATGAAAAGATAGAAATAATAGGTAGAAGTTATATATTTATTTTCTCTACCTAGAAAAATGACAAAATTGGCAGACCTAATATGGGCCCCCTGATGTTTTTTTTTTTTTTAATATTTTACCTACAAAATCTAGGAACTATTGTCTTATATTCTGAATTAGAGAAAGACAAAACAACCCCACCACCTGGCCCTGTCGTTAATTAGCTGTGTAATTTTAAGAAATCACTTTACCTTTCTGAATATGCAAAATGGAAACATAGCACCAGATTCTATATATCCCATGAGATTGTTTTTAAGTAAAATGAGGTCATATGTATTCAAATACCTTGAAAGTAAAGAGGGCTCTGTAAAAGTCATCATTTTTATATATTACCATCAGCAAAAGTGGTTATCTTTTTCTCTTCATTAACTTGATGATCGTTATTGGCAAATATCATAAAAGATAGTTTGATTATTATATAAAATCAATTACATGTAGAATAGAATAGAAAGCATATTATTTTGACTACTAACATCTTCCTAGCAAATAATTTAATTCATCTTCTAAAATCATGGAGTCATTTCTGATGTTTTTAGATTTTGTCAAATTGGCAGTTATTGTCTCTTTAAGAATAGCTACTCAACAGACACATGTCCAGAAAGCATTTGGTGTGCGAAAAAATACATGATCATTTCTAAGTGTCATTTACACCTCGATATATATTAATACCAGTCAAATTTCTTTCTTGGATCCCTTCTTATTTGAGAAAATTAATGAAGTTATAAGTTAATTGAACAGCTTCGTTTAGAAAAGAAGGGACACATGGAGGAATATATGACATTAAACTGAAGAGCTAATGCTAGGACACTTCAAAGACTAACATCAAGTGGGACAGTTATCAGACTCATTAACGAATGTTTCTTGTGAGTGGCCATCAAAGACCAAATACTGTGCCAATTGTATAAGCCATTGGCTTGATCCAGTTTGATATTTCTTATAAGTTCTTGTCCTAGAATCTATGACTAAAAGGTGACTCTTCCTTTTATTAGTTATTACTAGTAAGTATGACTCTTAGCTGTGTGGAGATATCTATTTTATTTAAGGTCAAGGACTTAATATTTAAAACTCTGGGCCATCTGCCTTTATTTTATAATTATGATTCTTTTTCTCTAAAGTAAGGATCCCAAAATGACATAGGCACAATACTAATGGAAGCAGTATGATTAACAAAAGAAATAGGCCGAAAGAGAAATTATGCAAGGGCAGAAATGCAAGGCTCACTTTCTCCTTTCAGTATGTAAACAGGTAGTTTAAGACACTCAAGACCACCCTACCCTGTACTCTAAATGGGTTCAGTGCACCTGGCAGTACATCTCTGGAGCCATGAGAGCGTTGTCTAGAGTCAGTCTCACGTCTTTGAGTAGTCATTTGCACCGTATACTAACCTTGCTCCTCCCATCCCTGAGTACCCAAACCTTGTGAGTTGGCACCCCTTCTCTCATTAGTCACCTCAGGCCACCTAGCTCTGATGTTCCATTTGGTCATTGATCTTCAGAACAGGGTGCTATACTTTTACCATCCTTCCTGCCGTGAAGAAAAGGTGCTCCATCCTTCATCCAGGTCCCGTAGGGCCACCTCCGTCCCCCATGGACTAGTGATCGGACACATATAGAAATAATACAGTGTTTATTGAACACTTAATATGGGCCACACACTGTTCTCAGTTACTCTTATCTCTGTAATCCTCACCACAACCCAATCCAGTAATTACTCTTTTCTCATTTTATAGATGGGAAAACAAGGTACAGAGAGCTTAAGTAATTTGCCCACACTTATACTCAAGGTAGGAAATAGTACAGTCGGACCATCGGATTCCATGCTCTTAGCCAGGAGATCACACTGAAAATTGAATGAGTCCCACATACCTACTTTTCCAAGGTGATCTGTTATAGTCAATATATGTCCTGTTCTTACCTCCGTTAACTTCCTTTTCACGTAATTTATTCAAAAACTAACTATTGAGTACTGTGTGCCATGTGCCGAGGATGACACACCAGTAAACAAAACAGCCGTGGTCCCTGTTCTCAGGCAGCTTATGTATAAGAGCAGCGGGTGGGGGGCAGGATGAGACATTTTTTTCAATTGATAAATTAATGGACAAGATCATTTCAGGTCTTGGTAAAATGAAGCACAGTATTAAGGAGTAACTGATGGAGGCTACCTTTGGTTGGCTAGTGAGGAAAGACCTCC